GTAGAAACGACACTACGGTAGAATAACAAATTTAAATAAAATTTAGGTCAATTTGATTAAGTTGGCTTTGAACTGAAAATTGGAAATAAGAAAATCATATTTTAAGTTTTGGCTAAATTAACTAGCTAACAAATTTATTTAGAAAAAATTAAATAATTTGGCTTATTTAAAATAAATTAATTAAAAAAATTTAGGAAATTTGGTTCTTATTCAGTTTTTCGATTCTTAATCTAGAATCGAGAACCGATAGGTTTAATAGAATAAAATAAGTCGGTTCTCAATTCATATATTCGTTCGGGTATTTAATTTAAGAAGAACCCTCGATTCGGTTCGATTCGATCAATTTGGTTCAAAAGTTTTGTCTAGTCGTAGTGAAAATGTCAAACGGAGTTAAAAATGATCGAAAAGGACAATGAAAGGCCAGTTGAACCGGCCCAAACGGAGGAGGGTGACTCTTTAGGTCCCACGTGAATTATGAGAGTTGAAAAAAAAAAAGTTAATTATATGTAGTAAAATAAATAATTACTGTTTTAGTTTATTAGAAATTTATGATTAGTAAGACTAATTTATTTATTTATTTATCTATTTTTTAAATCAGTTGTGTTTAGTTTACACGTATAAATTAATTTACTTTACACATCTATTCTCAAACTTGAAAAATAACAATTATGCACAAATAATTATAATCATTAATTTTAGAATAATGTTATCTAACATCAGTTGTCCTAAAATTAGGGTTGTCAATGTATTGAATTTTGATCATAATCCGATAAAATTAATAGGAGATGAATTTAAGGTCTCTCAATCAGATAATCTGATCAAAATTTGAATTCGATAATCCATTAAGTAAATGAATCAAGTATGAATATGTGTCAATCCGATCTGATAACAATCCGATTCGATTTATTATAATAATATATTATATTTTTTATATTATCACATAATTTATGACAGTTTTTTTTTTCCATTTTGAAACTTGTATTTTACTTTACATGCAATTTTTAAATAATATTATAATATTTCTAATTGAAAATTCTAAAGAGATTTAATTTTTTTATTAATTAAAATAAGATAAAAATAATAATTAATTTATTAACAAGATTTACTATAGTAATTTGTTTTATAACATAAAAAACTAACAATTAATATATGCAAAATAATATACTTTGTTCAAATTGATATTGTTTGTAATTAAAATCTTATTAAGGCTATAATTTTTAATGAAAATAATAAATTAAACTAGTAAACACTTAGAATTGATAAATAATTATGATTAGTATCCCACATTGAAAGATCACTAAATCATTGGAATAGAGAATCCTTTAAAATGCTAGTATCCAATATTAAAATATCACTAAAACACTCCAAAATGAGTATCCTTTTAAAAGGAGATAAATAAGCATCAATTGAATAAAAAAATTGATTTGGACTTTCTAATTTAATAAGTGAGCTCATCAAAATAGTATTTTTTTTAAATAAATGATTAATTAAAATCTTGTGAGGCTATGATTTTTAATAAAAAAATAAATAAATTTTTTTATTTTTCTAATTTTTTCAATTCGGACCGGGTTATCGGATTGGATATCCGGTAACATAGTTAATTAGACATGTATTTAGCATTCAAATTCAAATATTCATTGAATTATCAGATCGAATAATTATTCTTAATGGATCGGATCTTATTTGAGCAGATCCGATCTATTTACAGCCCTGGCTCAAACACTAATAAATTTTATAGATTCAATTAAATAAGTCATATGACTTTACGTTTAATGATCATTTAATGCTATATAATTACCACCTAAACTGGTACTTAACATTAATAGTGATAAACAACATTATTCTTAATTTTATCTACTACTATAGGTGAGCACCAGTACACTTTATAGGTGCAACTAAAAGAGTCATGTGACTTTACATTTAAATTATCATTTAGGGCCTATTTGGGCCCCATTTTTTCACTCAAAAAATTGATTTTTTTACCGTTATTTCACTATTTCAGTCGTCATATTTGACTTCTTCTTTCACATGTGGACCCCACTTTTCTCCTAACGATCAAAAAATAAATTCTCAAAATCACTCCCAAACAGGCTTTTAATGCCATATACTTACCACTTAAACTAGTGCTTAACATCTATAGTGATAAATAGCACTTTTAATTTTATCTATAACTATAGGCATTGATAGGCATATTTATTAAATGTGGCCTCCGAACTACATTAAAGATTTAGATACATGATTGGTCAGCAACTCAAGTTGCAAAAGGGAAACAATGATCGTGGTAGAGGTGATTAATTCTTGAAAACGAATTCAAAACAAGAATGTGAAAAGTGAACAATTAGAAAAGACAACGATAAATTTTCGTCAATATTTAGTTATGTTCCATATTCTACATTCTATCATCCAGGAAGTTCAATATGCAGCAAATCTTCGTTCAATGTGAAAATGGATCACTCACAAGGTCTTAAAAGGAATTTTCCACATATCTTCTATAGGCTAGACACATGGGGTTCATGAATATTTTATTGGGATGGGCCACACTGCTGTGTGTGTTCTGTAAAACATCTGTAGTATTTTTTCTGTAAGTGTAGCATTACTAGTCTTAAAAATCGTATTGTAAATTCTTTTTTTATTTTTTATTTTTATTATTTTAGTTTCATGTATAGTTTATGTACACCTTAGTATTGCCAAGATTTGTAAGTGTTAGACAATATATTACTTACAAAGTGGATCGCTACTGATTTTTCGACCTAGTTATATATTCCAAATTCCATTGACAAATTGTAGGTTTCCAAACTCTGCAACCTCTCTCAATGAGTTTGAAGGCGAACAATCAAAATCTTTGACGCATATAACCAATTTATAAGGAATGCCTCTTATGAATTTAAATCAAAATCCAGATTAATAAATCAACCAAAGAGCTGGATTATATTTTAATTATAAACATTTTCTGGAATTCAAGTTATGTTACAAAAAGATTTAGTAGTACACTTGCTATCTAGATTTAGCTAGCGGTGCTGAGGAACTGCATTTCGATTCTGGTACAAATATAGATTTTCGTCTTTAAGAAGGTAAGCCTTTTTGCATGGACGAAATAATTAAGTAGAATATTTGATATAAATAACTCACTTCTTGATCTTCGATCCCCTCGATCTCTATGAATACTAATAAATGTATTTTATACACTTATTTAATTCATTAAACTAGAGCAATTTTTGTTATTTAGGATGAATTGATGCTTAACTTAATACATATTTCATTTGTCAGGTGTAACTCGAGGCAAAACAATGGAATTGGACAGAAGAGCGAGAAATTTGCTAACTTGAGCTTAATGAAAATTTTGGGGACTAAATCGCAGAGTACCAAGAGTTGATTCGGGCCTAATGTTGATGATTCAAGAAAAGCTAGAGGCAATTAAATAGTATGGGAGGATGAATGGTCAAGAAGATATCAATATGAACCAAAAGGAACAAAGAACGAACTATAAGGACCAAAGTGCAACACATGGAAAAATTTTATAGTGGCACGCGCGCAGGCCAAAACGCTGGTGCACACAAGGGGTTGAATTTCATAAGCAGAACGTAGAACCATTAGGCAGCGCATGCACAAGGAAATATACCCCGCGCGTGCGAGCATTTTTCGAAAAAAAAATCAGGCAAATTTCTTTTTTGACACAAATTCTTATGGAAATAAAATCTATCATACTACTTAACCTAGGGGGATGAAGAGAACGACACTTCTTCTAGAGGGGAAAAAGAGGATTGTTAGGAGAAAATCTCAAGAGGCAAAGATCAACGAAAGCAATTGCAAGAAGATTGACGACAATCGGGAGAAGAATTCACGCAACAAAACTAGTTTTTCTTATTCCCTACTTCTTCTCCATGTTCTTTATTGTGTATTTTACCATGTCAATCAATTTTATTATGAACTAGACTTTAATCCTAGGGATTTGATGTATCCTACTTAGACATGTTTTAATTCCTATATAATTATTTCAATTAATCTTTCCGCTTATTTATTTATATTGTTCTTACACAATGCTTTCAATTAACTGGACACTAATTGACTAATTTGATGCTTTAAATTTTGACGCTCGAGAGAGGTAAATTTAGGTGTGATCTAAGAATAACATAACCTAGATTTCGTAGATTTTGAAAGAAAGTGCGAATCTTTGAGATTCCACTTAAAGAACTAGGTGCTTTGATAATTTCTATATGTTTAGTTCGGAATAGAGATATTGGAATTAAAATATAGAAATATATTCTATTTGGTGCTCGAGAAAGAGAAATGGAATCAATTTAGTGTTCTTGCCTATAAATTTTAGAAAGATTGATAGAAATAATTATAATGATTGTAACATTGTCAATAATACAGTGAAATCACTTCTTAAGCATTCATAATTTAATAAGAAACTTTACAAATTGCTTTTGTTCACTTTGCATCGTTCATCCCATTCATTTTAATTTAACAAAAAAAATATTATTTTAAAAATTGATTGTTTAAATAAAGTGAAAGTTAAAATAATTATAGTACTCGATAGGATTCAAATATCAATCCCTATGGGTTCGACATTCTTATTCTAATA